CCTGAGCATGGAAGCCCCCTCTCAGGGACTCCCTTGCCCCTCCACATCTGTGCAGAAGCCCTCAGGGCCGCCTGTCTGAACGTGGAAGCCTTGCGTCATCCCTTTCCCCACCCAGGGAACTCCCTCCACCCTTCCGGACCTGTGTGGAGGGCTCCCCCCATCACAAGTGGATAGAAACCACCTATCCTCCCCCATTCCACCTACCTTACCCTGACTACCATGGCTCTGCTGCCCGACCGAGCATCAGCAGACAAGCCACTCAGCAAACCACAGGGCATGTCACCTATTCATACCAACAGAAGGACCCTGCCACTACTTGATACTTTGTGCCTTACCATGAGGAAGGACCCTGTTCTCTCAAGTCCAAGCAATTATCCAAAAGTAAATTTTAAGTGCTTAGCACCACAGACCCCGCATGTGTACTTGACTCTCCATACCTTCCAGTGACTCTCCATACCTTCCATACACAACTAACCAAATGGCAGCTCCAAAGACACACACACCTCAATACAAAACAACAATAATTAAAATACAAACGAAGGGGAACAACCCAAGGAACAAAGGATATAAACTCAATCTTTAATATATCAAAACAAAAACAAATAGTAAGAAACATTAATGTCTCGAAGACAATTACAGAGCACATGAAAAGAAAGGAAAAGATTGCCCCACCTAACAAACAAAATAAAGTGACAGAAACAATCTCTGAGGAGGAACAAATAACGAACTATCCAATAAAGACTTCAGAACTACTAGAGTCATGCACTGCAGAATGTCCGTTTGGGCAATGTCCGACCACACATAAGACTCTGGTCCCATAAGGTTATAAGAAAGTTCAGAAATCTCGACTGGAGAATGGGACATAGTGGATGTAACACTTAAGAGATACCTCCAAACTGCAATGTTCTCATGAGCGTCACAAAGTAGTGTCTGCGTTTGTTATTACAAACCATGGTATGTTTTTTACCCAAATTTTTAATACAGTCATGTGCTGCATAACATCCACTCAGGGAATGTCTGACTGAATATACATCTGTGGTCCCATAAGGTTTTTTTCTTTTTAAAGGGAAAGCAGCCCTCCTTTTGTTTATTATTTCCCCTTAATGGTTTTAAAAAACCCCAACCCCCCATAATGAAAAAGCAGCGCGGCTCCAGGGCACATCCCAATCCCTGCTGCACCTCCTCCTCCTGGCTTCATTCACCCACCAGCAACTACGCAGCCATTCACTCCTGGAGCAGGGCAGCGCCTGCCATGGCTACTCTGCTCTTGTCATGGGTGCTCGTGGGTCTCTGGCTCCAAGGGGCAGCAGCACATGATTAGGAAGCAGCTGCATCAACAGGGCAGCCGTATCCAGGCTGCCACTGCCAGCCAAGCTTCCTGTACCCGGCATACCCACTTCCCGTCTGGTCCCCACAGCTACCTCTCCACACTCCCGTGTGCCTCTCACCCTGTGCCTAGACACGTGCAGCCCTGCCCGACCCACGGCCGCACACCCAGCAAGGCTAGCCTCCTATATTCAGTGGATACAGCTCTCGAGCTTTGTCTGGTAGGCAGGTGGTGCAGGGGGTTGTGAGGACCCAGGCTGCTCCTGCTCCTCAGGCTGGCGGAACATCAGGTAGGGCTGGTCAGCCTGGGGAATGCCTGTACATACTGTGATATGATGTTCGCACAATGTCAATATCACGTAACGTCCTAGTTCACAGAACATACTGCAGATGTTAAGCAATGCATAACTGTATAATAGGCTTTATGGCAGTCCGTTCTTAAGTACGAGTTGTCCGCAAGCGGACGTTTGTAACCCGGGTACTGCCTGTATATAATATTGTGTTCCCACAACGTCCAAGTCACATAATGTCCTATTTCATGGAATGTATCGTGGATGTTAAGCAACGCATAATTGTACTAAGTTTACTCACAGAGACAGAGAGATAAAGGAGAAAACAGAAACAAACAAACAAACCTGGAACTTAGGAAAACAATATAAGAAAAAAACGACAAGTTCAGTAAAGAGAGAGAATCACTAAAATATCAGCAACTAGAAATTCCAAAGCTCAATAATAAAATAGCACAAATAAACAACTCCACGGATGGACACCAAAGTAGAACTGAAACAACAGATGAATCAGCGAATTAGAAGACAAAATCTTTGAGCCTACTCAGTTTGAGTAACAAAGAGAAAAAAGAACAAAGCCAAAGGGTTATGTGAGACACCATCAAAAGGAAGAATAACATACAATAGGAATTGAGAAGAGAGGAAAAAAAGTCCAGAAATAATATCTGAAGAAATAATGGCAGAGAATTTTCCAAATATCTCGTGAGATTTTCATCCAAGAAGCTCAACAAACTCCGTATAGGATAGAGCTCTATAGAAATTCACCAAGACATCATAATCAAACTTTCCAGATTCCAGGACAAAGAAAGAACTTTGAGAGCAACATGTGAAAAGTGAAAATATCACCTACAAAGGGGCTCCAATTAAGATTAAACACTGAATTCTCCTCAGAAACTATGCAGGCAAAAAGACAATGAAATAAAATATACAAAGCCCTGAAAGAAAAGAACTGTCAACCAAGCATTATATATACCCAGCAAAACTGCCATTCAAAAATAAGAGAGAAATTAGGAAATTCTCCAATAAGCAAAAATTAAGGAAATCTGTAACCACCAGACCAGCCCAACAGGAAATATTAAAGTGAGTCCTTCAGATAGAAAACCAATGACATCAGACAATAGCTTGAGGTAAAGACACATGACAGCATCACTCCTGATATCAAGCCAGGTGAAGACATGATAACAGTAAAATAAAGTTAAACGATTACAGGGAATCTGGGATACAACACTGTAATCGACAACATCAAAACAAACTTCCATTTGGTAAGGAAATTAAGGCTATTTCAAGATATAACAGACTTTGAAATGTAGGATGTCAAATGTAAGCCTTATGGTAACCATAAAGAAAATTAATAAATCTACTCATCAAAATAAAGAACAAAAAAGATTCAGTAAACACAAAAACAACAATAATAAATGAAAGGAAAACTCATATACAAAAAGAACTCAGCACAGAAAGTAAAGAACAAAGAAACCATTAATACCAAAAAAAAAAAAAAAAAAGGCATAACAAAATAGCTGCAGTAAATTCCTTCCTATTGATAATCACACCGAGTATCAATAGATTAAATGCACCAGCCAAGAGACAGTATCATGGATTCTGTCCCCCCAAAAATGTGTGTATCAATTTGGCTGGGCCAGGATTCCCAGTATTGTGTGGTTGTCCTCCATTTTGTGATTGAAATTTTATGTTAAAGAGGATTAGGGTGGGATTGTAACACCCTTACTAAGGTCACATCCCTGATCCAATATAAAAGGAGTTTCCCTGGGGTGTGGCCTACAGCACATTTTATACAAGAGATAAAAGGAAAGGGAAGCAAGCAGAGAGTTGGGGACCTCATACCACCAAGAAAGCAGTGCCAGGAGCAGAGCACATCCTTTGGAACTGTGGTTCCTGCGCTGATGCTCCCAGACCAAGGGAAGATTGACAAGAAGGCTGACAGACAGAGAAAGTATTACCCTGGAGCTGACGCCTTGAATTTGGACTTCTAGCCTCCTAGACTGTGAGAAAATAAATTTCTCTTGGTTAAAGCTATCCACTTGTGGTATTTCTGTTATAGCAGCACTTTATGACTAAGACAGAGAGTGACAGAACGGATTAAAAAGACAAGACTCATCAATATGTTGCCTACAAGAGACACACTTGAGGCACAAACATATAAACAGGTTAAAAAGGGAAGGGTGGAAAAAGACAAAACCAAGCAAAGAGTAATCGAAAGAGAGCAGGAGTGGCAATATGAATATCTGATAAAATAGACTTTCGTCAAAATCCATTGTAAGGTACAAAGAAAGACATTCTATAACGATAAAAGGGACAATTCACCAAGAAGATATAACAGTTATAAATATTTATGTACCCAATGCCAGAACCCCAAATTTATAAAGCAAATTCTAACAGAGTTAAAGAGATAAATAGACAGATCTGGAATAACAGATTTCAATAAATCCTTTTTGATGACAGAATAGAAAATCGATGAAGATATGGAAGACATCAGGCAATGTCCGACCACATATACGTTCATGGTCCCATAAGGTTGTAACAGAGTTCAGAAATCTCGATCAGAGAGCGAGATGTAGCAGACATAACTGGACGTAGCAAATGCAATAGCTTCCTGTATGCAACACATATTTCTCGTGTCTCTTGTAAAAACAACTCCTGTGAAATTTCCTCTGAAATACAACCCAAGTCTTTCTATTTACCCTCTCTGCTGCCACCCTAGCCCAGCTGGCCATCATCGTTCTCTAGTACTATTCCAGCAGCTCCTGATCTCCCAGATGCCCCAGAGAGCCCCTTCACACCAAGGACAGAGAGCTTTTCAAGAATTCAGATTGGAACATGCCATTCCCCTCCCCCCACCCAAAATCCTCCAAAACTTCCCATTGCCCTTGAAATAAAATCTAAGCATTTTACCCCAATTACAAGGTCCTGCCTATGGTGTTCTCACAACGTCCAAATTACATAACGTAAAATGTTATCACGGATGTTAAGTGATGCGTGACTGTATTAACCAACTGGACCTCACAGACATATACAGAACAGCAGCAGCAAATACACATTTTCCTCCAATGCACACTGAACATTCTCCAAAATAGACATATTTTAGGCCACAAAACAAACCTCAATAAAATTAAATAAGACTGAAATTGTACAAAGCATCTTCTCTGACTATATGAAGCTATAAACCAGTAACAGAAAGAATAAGAAAAAAAAAAACCATGGAAACTAAATAACATACTACTAAAAAGTATTAGGAGCCCTGGTAGCACAATGGTTAGGCACTTGGTTGCTAACCAAAAGGTTAGCGGTTTGAACCCACCAGGCGCTTCAAGGGAGAAAGACCTGGCAACCTGCTCCTATAAAGATTACAGCTTAAGAAATTCTACGGGGTAGTTCTACTCTTTCACATGGGGTTGCTATGAGTCAAAAATTGACTTGATGGCACCCAACAGCAGCAACAACAACAAAAAACAACTACTGGGTCATAGAAGAAATAAAAAGTGAAATAAAAAAGTTCCTCTTAAGAACATTCCTTGCCCTTTGGCTTCACCACTGGGCTTTATCACCACCTGAGGGATGCAAGCCAGCTGGAATTCAGGCTTCCAGGGGGCAGATGGCCACACCTGATGTCCATGGTGATTTAGTCAGACCCTGAAGCAAGCAAAGCCCTCTCCAGAGTAGGGCCCTCAGAGGTAATGAGCACATGGAATAGGCTCCAAGAATCCATGTTCCTCCTACTGTAAAGTATAACTGTTAACAGCTGGGACAACTGTAACAGATTGTAATTCCAAACACAATTTTTAACAGTCCAAATTTAGTTCAGCTATTAATAAAAATTACCGAGTCTCACACTTTTAGTTTAATCAAAACCAGTATGTCTCAGCGTGATCCTTTTTCTACCTCCATAATGCCTGCCAGTGGTGCTTATTAAATACAATGCATTTCCCAGCTCCACTGAATCAGGGTCTGGGGGTGAGGCCAGGCATCTGAATTTTAACCAGCTCCCCTGGTTATGACTTGAGAAAGCAACAGGTAGGGTTTAATAAAGCAGCATCTTCACTCTTTAGGATTTCAATTACAGAAGAGCTCACTCTCAGCTTACGGAAGTCAAAGTAAAACCCATGTCCCAGCTGATTAGCATTTTATTGTCTTCCTGTACTCATTTAGTAGAGAAATTCTTGAGGTTTCTCCCCTTCTTCGACATTATGTTGTTATTCCATCATCATTTCCCTCCCTATCCTGTATCTGGTGGATTTTTCCCACTTGGAAAATTTTAGCCTCACTGGCCCAGGTGGGAAGATGAGACGTTTAGGTAAATGTTGAACACCTTCCCCTTTAGCAAAGCTTTGCTTAGCTTTGTTCAACCTTAACCTTCCAATGTGCCTTCTGGACCTTCCACAGGCATCACTGTGCAGAGCTGACCTGGACACCTCACAGCAAAGCACATCCACCTGGATAAAGTGACACCATCGGCCCTTTCCACGCACCCTTCTCATTACGATCTCTCTTACTCACACACCTTGCCTTTTGTTTCATCAGGTCGTTCAAGTCCGTTCTACTCACTTTTTAATTTATCACTCCTGTTACCACTAGAGCGGGGTTTCTTTAGTGACATTATGAAAATAGCCACTAAGGCTAATGCTGCCCCCAGACTAGGTGGACCACAAGGGCTGACCTCCTGGACGACTCCCGAGAGGAGCGGGGCCACGATACGGCCCACTGCCGTCACAGACTGCCCCACACCTATGAGCGCGCCGCTGGCCTGCGCCCCGCCCACGGTCAGCTGGAGGTCCGTGATACACGTCCTGCCCACGGCGGTGGAGAAGGAGAGGAGAGTAGAGGAGAAGACAATGACCCCCATGGTGTGGGCCGTGGAGTAGAGCAGCAGCAGCGTGAAGGTGAGGAGGCTGGAGTGCAGCAGGATTGTGTGGGAGTCGTGCTTGTAGAGCCTCATGATGGGGCCCAGAGCAAAGCCGGCCAGGGCCCCCAGGGCACTGCTGTAACTTATGAGGTAGCCTGTCATCTTGGGCCTCACCCCAAAGCGCTCCTCGAGAGCCAAGACAAAGTTACTATAGTACAGCATGACCGCCACAGCCATCAGCAAGCGCACTAAAAATATGTCCCACATTTTGGAAAATATCAGGCTCTTCATGTCCTGCAATGCCGACAGGACTTCGATCCAGGGAAGCCGAGCAGTCTTCTCACTCGTGGTGGCCCCACGGGCCGTGGCTGCGTCCTGCACTTTATATCCCGTGTTTCCGGAAAGTCTGTTGTTCTTACCCAATTGCAGGTCATTCTTTGTCGTGCTGAATTTTACTTCACTCCATGGAAATAGCCAGACCAGTTCTGTAAAATGGCACGAGATCAGTTAAAGTAAGCTGAATGCAGGGAATTCATACAATGCCTCCACAGGGGCTAAACAATCATTTGTGTTAGATTACTAATCTGTATTTACATAGTATTTCTGAATCCAGCTTTTCCCCATTCCCACAGCTCTTTCTACTCCATTTCTATGCTGGCATTCTGTCAAAGAACTTGCTAGTCAGACACCTTAAAAAAAATCTATTCACAAAATATTCACTATTTTCTCCCCTAGCTCAACAGTCTATGATAGTCTCCTATATCCAATTATTTCATATCTAAATTCTTACAATCTACATTTCATTTCTTTCCTTCATTAACTTTCTAATTTTCTGCCTATCCATCCATCCAATATTTATGAGGACCTTTCTAAGTTACTAAGTTCCATGCTAAACACCAGGAATACACTAACTAACAAGACCAAACCAAACCTGCCGCCATGGAGTTGATTTAGACTCATAATGACCCTATAGGACAGACTAGAACTGCCCCATAGGGTTTCCAAGGAGCAGCTGGTGGATTCGAACTGCCGACCTTTTGGTGAGCAGCCTGAGCTCTTAACCACTGTGCCACCAGGGCTCCACAAGGCCTATCAAATCCCTGCCCTCAAGGAACTTACTCCTAAAAGGTGGTTCAGACAAATGAAAAGGCAATTACAGTGTAAGTGCCATGTTGGAGGAAGTACAGGGACAGCCAGCCTTGGCTTGGGGGTGGGTAGGAAAAGCCTGACGGCAATGACTACCAGCAAGCATTTGCTAGTCAGGGCTGCCACGTGCCTCAGGTCACAACCTACAAAACCTAGGGGCCGCCATTTTTACATGCCCTCAAGCAGCAGCGCTGAGCCCCATTCAGATGATCCTCTCTGGACTCCACTATGACCCTCGTGTTCTTGCCGCTGGTGTTTTTATCCCGTGCCATCCAACTGGAATGATCTCTTGCCAATCTATGCTCCCAAAGTGTCTCAAAACTAAATTCAAACTGGCCATTCTTGGACATCTCCCGAGCTAATCCTGACCAATTTTTTTTGTCCTTCAGTCCGAGCCGAACTTGGACCAGTGGTGGTATAGTGATGCTTCACGCTGTGTTCAGTGATTTGTGCGCATGGTTTCTCCAAATACAGTGTAAATACTTTGGCCCGGAGACCAGTTTATGACGGAAGACTAACGACATGAGAAAGCAGATCCGCTCTTTTCATCTATTTATGTCTTTAAAAGAGCTCCTGGAAGTTTCACAGAACCTTGACAAAAACGTGAAAAGAATTGTCACTGATGAGTATTATTCAAATAATAGTAAAAATGATGATGATGACAGCAGCTGGCATTTACCGCTTAATGCATGACCTCTTACAGTTCTCATAGAAATTCTGAGTTCTGTTATTTCCCGTTTCATGGATGAGGAAACTGATGCATAGAATAGTTTGTCCAAGGCTGAGAACAGAAATCATGGTGGAAAGGCTTCATGAAGCAAAATAACAGGTCAGAGCAAGGGTTTGAGATGCTGGGAGGAGGTTGAGAGACAGGGTATAGGAAAAGTTATCGTCACTGGGGAGAAAAATATGGGAAAACAACAATACATCGTGCTTGTAGCTCTGTGACCTCCATGAGATACAGGCTACTGTCTAGGCCGTGTCTAGGGCTATTCACCATTCCTTCTCTGCCAAAAAAAGCCTGGTCTGTTGAGGTAGCAGTGCTGTCCAACAGAGCTTTCTGCAATCATGGAAATACGCTGTAACTGCATGGTCTAATGTGGAAGCCACCAGCCACATGTGCAGGAGTCCCTGGTAGCACAGATGGATAAGCACTGGGCTACTAACCGAAAGGTTGGCAGTTCGAACCCACTCAGAGGTGCCCTGGAAAAAAGGCCTGGTGATCTGCTTCTGAAAGCTAACAGCTGTGAAAACCCTATGGAGGACAGTTCTACTCCGAACATGTGGGGTTACCATGAGTAAGTAGTGACTTGATGGTAACTTGGAAGAAAAAAGCCACATGTGCCTACTGAGCACTTGAAATGTGGTTAGTGCAGCTGAGGAACTGAGTTTCTGGCTACTTTAATCTGAATGGAAACTAAATGAAATTAAATAAAATCAAAATCGCAGTTCCTCTGTTGCACTAGCCGCATTTCAAGTGCTCACCAGCCACATGTGGTTAGTGGCTTTGGTACTGGATGGCACATGTCTAAACCATTCAGCTGATTTCATTCCCCTTGGCCAGTGACTGAAAAATGAGTACCAAACAGAAGTCCGAGCTCTGGTGGCGCTGTGTTTAAGGAGCTCGGCTGCTAACCAAAGGGTCGGCAGTTTGAATTCACCAGCCACTCCTTGGAAACCCTATGGGGCAGCTCTACCCTGTCCTACAGGGTCACTGTGAGTCGGAACCAACTCCACGGCACCGAACAACCACCACAAGAAGAAGTCTGCTGGGAAGAGCTCCTCGGAACTCCTGCTCATATAAAGGGACATAACTCAACTGGACAGCTCCCTTTTGTCCATTTGCCTCATCTTTTTTTTTCTTTCTGCCTGGAATGGACATGCTACCTGGAGGCACAGGAGCATCTTGTGTCTGTGAACTAACAAGCACAGAATGAAAACTAATTCACTAAGGATGTCAGAGCAGAAAACAGAAAGAACCTGCATCCGTGATGGCACTGCTGAGAGCTGCATCCGTCCGGGACTCACCTCTAGCTTTAAATGAGAAGAATAAATCCCTGTGAGGTTAAGCCGTTGTAGTTGGGAATACTGCAGCAGAATGTATTCCTGACTGATTCAGATCCATTAACAAGCTTAGCTTAGGGCAAAATATCAAACAGCGCTATCAATGGAGAATCAAAAACAGAACGTCATGACCATTTTCTATGTTCACATGCTGCCTTGCGAATCTGAATGACACCATGTTCTTTGTACCTTCCTTTAAACATATGAAGACATCTGGCCACATAAACTGGACATGTGCTTGAAGTCACTGTATCCTGATTTACACTGAGCCATGGTGGGCTCTCCTTACAGGTCTCACCTCCTAGCTGAGCATACAGGTTAAGTTTTTGGCAGAAAATCATAAAGTATTCCCATGCGGTTTGAGATCCAATTCACTGTCTAGGTTTCCTAGAGCTGCCCTAACAAAGGACCCAAGTGGTGACTTTAAAGACAAGAAATTTATTTTCTCACAGTTCTGGAGGCTGAAAGTCCAAAGCAGGGTCTCGGTCATGCTGATTCCTTTTGTGAGCCTCTCCTCGTTTCTGGGGGTGTCTCAATCCTCAGCATTCCTTTGGTACTTACACATACAGCCTCCTGTCTTCACAGCCCTCCCTGTTTTTCCTCTCTGTAAGACACCACTCAGAAGGGATTCGGTTGAGGACCCACCCAGCCCACTCCAGCTTGACCTCAATAACATAACCAAAGAAAACCCTATATCCAAACAGGGTCACGTTCACAGGTGCAGCAGCTAGGACTTCACCATTTTCTTGGGGGGACACAATTCGACCCGTAACACTCATGAATTTTGCTTCCTGAGTCTCAAATCTCCTAACCCAACATGGAATTCATTGTTCAACATGGAACCCTGAACATAAAGATTCAAAAAGGTTGCAGTTGCTAGCCTCCATTTTATAGATGAGGCAACTGAGGCATAATTTGCCCAAGGCCACACACTAAAAAGGAAAACCGAACAGCATGAATGATCCCATTATTTCTAAAGCTGCTTACCAAGGACCTGCCATTTTCTAGTCCTAGGCTAGAGGGACCACAGGAGGATATGACAGGCTTTAATCCATGGGAGCTCATGGCCCACTATTTATTCTTTTATTCATCAATTGTTACTGAACACCTGCTATATGCCTACCGCTGTTCTGGGCAGGGAGCAATCAGTGAATAATTCGATGAAATCCTTGCCCTTGTGGAGTCTGCTTTCTAATTGTATGTGTGCGTGTGCTGGGGAGGGGAGGTGGGTAACAAAGGGTAGATATAAACTAAGCAAATGAATTAATATCATTTCAGAAGTGCTATGAAGAAAATTGAGCTATTTTAGATAGAATGATCAGAGCAAACCTTTCTCAGGAGAAAACATTGGAGACCTGAATGCTGAGAAGAAGTGAAAGCCAGCAACGACATGTGGGAAGATGTTCCAGGTGAGGAAAGATCAAGTACAATGCCTCGTAGTGGGCATGAACCTGGCACATGTGAGCTCAGTAGCGAAGCCAGTGTGGCTGGAACACAGGGAGGGGAGGAACAGGGCAGGACACAGGGCAGAGCTGGGGGGACAGGCTGTGAGATCACATGGGCTGGAGGCAAAAGCTTGATAGGAAGCCAGCGGGGGGTCTGCAGCAGGGGATGATGTGGCCTGACTTTCACTCCTGAAACATGAGCCTGCCTACGCTGAGAAAAACAAATGGTCAGGCCATGAGACAAAAGTGAGAGCACTGACCAGCCTGAGCGCACAAACCAGACTTCTCAGTTAAATGTCAACTCACCGGCGTTCAGAAGGAAGACGGAAAAACAGATGACAGCTGTTAGGTGAAATCCGCCGTCTAGCTCAGTAAGACAGCCACCAACCATGGGGCCCAAGATGAAGCCCACACCCGACGCTGTATTGAACCGTCCGATTACTAGCGGCCGTTCCTTCTCTGAGACCAGATCAGAAAGCAGAGCCCTTGAGATGGAGAGTGTGTGTTTGAAAATACCTGTAAGGGGACATAAACATGCTCTGTAACTTTTCCCAGATCCAAAGTATCTCATTTTTGACACTGCATTTAACTGCAGTCTCTGATGGAATTCTGATCTCCATTTTCTTTCAGCCTCTAAGGCCTGCAGATTCCGCTCCACCTTAACTGGACTCCTGGTCTGTTTGATTCTGCAGCACCCATTCCTACTCAGTCACCTTATCTCTGGTGACCAAGCTCCCAGACCTTCAGCTTGTAGCCTCCCTCCATGACTTTCTAGCATCTCCAGTGGTCTTTGGCATCCAACTGTAATTCACGTATATGGTGGCTCCTGTGTGTAGATTTACTATAATAGTTCATTCACACATTCAATAAATATTTACTGTATGTCTACTCCACATCTAGTACTGATATTGACCCTGGGGATAAAGCAAGGACTGGAGACCAAACGAGCCCTGGTGGCGCAGTGGTTAAGAGCTCAGCTGCTAACCAAAAGGTCAGCAGTTCCAATCTACCAGCCACTCCTTGGAAACCTTATGGGGCAGTTCTACTCTGTCCTATAGGATTGCTTATGAGTTGTAATCAACTTGATGGCAAATGGGTTTGGTTTGGTTTTGGAGACTGAAAAAGAAAAAAAAAACAAAAGAGGAAAGACAAATATCCCTGCCTTGGTGGAGCTTGCGCTTTAGTTGGAGGAAAAAGGGTCACGTGGAATATAAAATCTATTTTTAAATATATTAGAAGGTGATTAGAGCTCTAGAAAAAAATAGGGCAGCAAGGAAGGATATTATAAACTCATCTAACCCGTATGAACTGATTTTCTACAAGTAACAGGCCGGTAAATTTGTTAAGAAATTGAAAGTTCTGACATTACTTTTAATAGCAGGTTATAATGTTATGACTTTATAGTCCTCATACTTCTTCTGATGTATAAGGCTTGTGTGTGCCTGGACATCCACACACTGATCAAACATACTCATCAATATACTGAGGGATTCTCATAACACAGGCTATCTGCTATTTTGTTCAACACAGAGTAGGAGCTCAGTTAACACTGCTGGTAGGTCTACCAGAATCCCTGTGATGTGACACAATGACTCCATGATCTGCCTGCAGGAAGGGTCACTCTGCACATCGCTATGCATGTGTGCACTACAGTGCCTTAGTCCTGGGTTCTAGTCCTAGCCTTGCCCCCAAATTAGAGTGGGTGTCTGCCTCATAACTAGCCTCTTCGGGAAGCAACCATATAAACCCTATTTGCAGTTAGGGAGACTGACTCTCCAGGCCTGTTTCCTTAAACGGGAAAGAGGACTGGGCAAGAAGGTGATTCCTAAGAGGTCTTACAGAAATTCTGTAAGGATTATTTTTGAAATTCTATCATTGGTGGGCTCACCATACACACCTGGGGGAAGAGGACTGTTGTAAGAGCATCCCCTGAGCAACCCAGACTAGGCTTCCCTTGGCCCCAGACTAGGCTTCCCTTGGCCCCAGACTAGGCTTCCCTTGGCCCCAGACTAGCCTTCCCTTGGCCCCAGACTAGCCTTCCCTTGCCCCCAGACTAGGCTTCCCTTGGCCCCAGACTAGCCTTCCCTTGGCCCCAGACTAGCCTCCTCTTGCCTTTTAGAGGTTGGCGTGATGGACAGTGAGGGCAGGGACAAACCAGATGTCTAACTCTGACACTTGAACCTCAGGCACACTTGAAGCCAGTGGCTCACTTTTGGGCTGAATCCACAACAGACTTTGTGCAGAAGAACCCTGGCGAAGTGTCCCATGTCTGCGGACCACCAGAAACTGTGAAGGTTGACACGGACAAGGGAGAAATTTTGTATATCACTCTCACTGTTTGCAAAGATGATATTTATATAAAAGACCTACCGCTACTCAAACCAGGTTAATTTCATATTAAATAAAAAAGAATTTAGTCCTTGCCATAACTCCCCACCCATTTTGGAACAAACCTAGTTTCTGCTTTATTCATCTCCCTCATGATTTCTCTGAATTATGAACAGTACTTACACCGAACGGTGGAGTAGATTATATTGTAGAAAGACACACTGCCAACCAAACCAAAAATATACAAGAAATCTGACACCAGACACACGAGATGGATACAAATTTGATTTTTTATGTGTGCGGTGTTAGTGTTTGTTGGGATTACTGACTATAACTAACGTAAAGAACTTCATAAAGCATTTTCTTAAATCAATAAGACGGTACAATATTGAAGGGTGAACTCAACAGATTTTTACAGGAAGTATATATACCAGAGTAAGCTGATCATCTTGTATGTTAAAGCGACTCCATTTATGCTTTATTCATTCATTTGAGAAGTTAGCTAAAGAACTTAGTTAAAGAGGACCTTGGATAAAGACAACCTTACTTAAGTATGAGCAGCTCAACTGGATGTGTGCAGGGGTATAGTACTGCAGACCTGCTGAACAGGGTAGCAAAGTCTGTCAGTGCTCTACGGGTGAGATGAGAAAAACAAACAACCTCCAGGGCCCTAATCACCCAAGAAAAACAAGCAGACAATAAAGAGCTTCCACAGCAACTATCTACCTGCCAACACCACCCAGGATTCATGGACCACCTGGTCTCAGAGTCAGATCCAGGTCACACCAATGGTTTGAGGGTTGGCCTGCCAGAGCTGAGAACGCTGTTTTCAAAGGATGGAAAAGATAAAAGCTATTTCAAAAACATCAGAAAAAGTCAAGAGCAGTCTAGAAATGGGAAACTAATCCATGAGGCACTATGACATAAACCTAGCATCCCTGTAAGCAATGCCTGCTTTCATAAAATGCTGAAAGAAAGCTACAGCAGTAAATCTGAATTTGAAGCCATGAAGCCCAATGACAAAATGATAGGCTCACTAAGGGAGGGGGTGATCACCACAGTGCTGGCCAGCGACATTTAACAACTTCTTACTGATTGAATGTAGACAGAGGTCGAGGAGACGGGTCCTGATGCAGCAGCAAAGTGGTACACACTGACAGACCCTGAGGGGCTCTGGACTGTCACACACTAGGTATGTAGCTTTGGACAAGGTGGCAGAGCACCTGGCCAATCTAAGTCCTCAATAAACAGTACCTGCTGTTGTTGCAGTTATTAAAGCTGCTGTACAGTAAGCTCTAATCAAGGAGGCAAGGGCAAGCAGGGACAGGCTCTACAAGCATTGGCATGGTACAGTAGCTGCCACTGGGTCGGCTCTGACTCGGCACGATGTTACGTAAAACAGAACGAGATGCTGGCTGGTCCTGTGTCATCCTCACAATCGCCAGCATGCCGGGGCCCATGGCTGCGGCTATGGCATCAATCCATCTCACTGAGGGTCTCCCACGCCCTCGGGGGCCTTCTCCTTCACCAAACACGATGTCCTCCTCCAGCGATCATTCCTCCTGATGACGTGGTCAAAGCGAGAGAGTCGGACAATGTTCCGATGTGATCCATGAGGTTTTCACTGGGAGATTTTTTGGAAGTAGATCACAGGCTTTGTTCCTAGTCTTTCCTAGTCTGGAAGCTCTGCTGAAATACGTCCATCATGGGTGAGCTTGCTGGTATTTGAGATACTGGTGGCCTAACTTCCAGCATCATAGCAACACACAAGCCACCGGCGTAGGACAAACTGATAGACAGGTGGTGATCCATAAGCATTACCCACGCCTACAACCAGATCATAATATATATACACACATATACATACACCTTCATGCATATACATACATATACACATACATGTATACTGTTATGGATGAACTGTGTCCCCCAGACATATGTGTTGTAAATCCTAACCTCTGTGCCTGTAGTTATAATCCCATTTGGGAATGAGTTTTCTGTTATGTTAATGAGGCAGGATTAGTATAGGGTGTATCCCGAGTCAAACTCTTAAAAAGAGATAAAAGGACCAAGAAGAGATGGGGGAAGAGAGATGCTGAGCCCAAGAAGATTGCCCAGGAGCAGAAGCTCAGAAGAGACAAGGACCTTCCCCGAGGGCTGACAGAGAAAGCCTTCCCCTAGAGCCGGCGCCCCGAATTCAGGCTTCTAGACTCCCAAAATGTGAGAGAATACATTTCTGTTTGTTAAAGCCATCCACTTGCGGTATTTCTGTTATAGCAGCACTAGATGACTAAGACATTTATCTACGTATGTATACGTATGCATATATATGTGTAGGTGCGCATACATGTATATATGTACGTATACACACACTCACGCAGGCACACATATCTTAACAGAACAATTTTTGAGTGAACACACACACCCCACACAAAGGGGCCAGAACTCACCCACAGGGACTCTAGCCACGGCAAACAGGAACACACTGGTGGATGCTCCCAGGAGGAGATAGCCCAGGGCGCTGGAGAGAATGCAAGTGAGCAAGGCAGAACGCTTTCCGACCACGTCACTCCAGCAGCCCTGAGGAAAGAAAGAAGTCTGAGCCGCGGTGAACTCACCACCCAGACGCACATAGAACCTGATCCAGAGGGAAACACCTGCGGGTTGGCCTGGGGAGCCTTCCCATTTGCGAGAGGAACTTATTTTCTCCAGGAGCCCCCCAAGGGAAGATACAACAGTTTTCACTGGCCAAACAAAGTATCTACGGGCTGGTAGCTAACAATGGTTGGAAAGATGCTGAAGTGTAACTTATAAAGCCTCATTGTCATCTTCATTCTTATTACTTTATGGGACTAAACCCCTCAGTAACTATGTTCATTGCGTAGCAATTTAGAAAATACCTAAAACCAAAAAGACTATACAAATATCCCACAGTCTCCTAACCTACATGTATTTTTAACAAAATGGTCATACTGTACCTTCTGTCTTCAAACTTGCTTTTTCACTTAACAGCATCTTGAACAACACTCCATGTCATTTTTAATCATATCTCATATTCTAATATATAGAGGCACCAATATTTATTTAAAAATCCTTTCGGTTACATTTTTGGGCTCTTTTCAATTTGTCAAAAATTAAAACTAAGGTTACAATAAACATACTCATAGCAAAATCTTGGCAAACGTCCTTGAAAATTTCCTCAGGTTACGTTCCTAGAACTAGAACTGCTAGGTTAAAGGGCACGTGCATTTTAAGGCTATTGACACGTGTTGCTGCGTGCTGTCCAGTCGATTCCAACTCATAGCAACCCTACTAGAGAAGAACTGTCCCATAGGATTTCCAAGGTTGTAATCTTTAATGAAAGAGTCCTGGTGGCACAATGGTTAAGCAGCTTGGCTGCTAACCGAAAGGTCAGGGGTTTGAACCCACCAGCCATTCCTTGGCAGAAAGATGTGGCCGTCTGCTTCTGTAAAGATTACAGCCTTGGAAATCCTACAGGGCAGTTCTACTCTGTCCTGTAAGGTTACTATAGTTGGAATTTGAGTCTACAGCAATGAGTTTTGGTTAATCTTTACTGAAGCAGATCGTCAAGTCTTTTCTCCAGCAGAGCTGCTGATGGGTTCAAACTGCCCACCTTTTGGTTAGCAGCCAAGGGCTTATCTATTGCATCACCAAACCAAACGAAAACCAAATTCATTGCTGTTGAGTTGATTCCGACTCACAGCAACCCTACAGGACAGAGTAGAACTGCCCCGTAGTTTCCAAGGAGCGTCTGGTGGATCTGAACTGCTGACCTTTTGGTTAGCAGCAGAAGCTCTTAACCGCTACGCCACCAGGGTTTCCATTGCACCACCAGGGTTCCTTAATCGATATATACTGACAAATTACACTCCAAAAAGAGCTACAATCCCACCAACAGTGTCATTAGGAGTCTCCATTTCCCTATATTCTAGCCAACACTGTGCATCATCAATTAAAAAAATCTACAAATACGTCAAGTGGCATCTTTTTATGATGTTAATTTACATGTTTTTTTCCTTCTTTCTGATGAATTTTTTTTCATTTCTGTACTAGCCATTTGCATGTCTTTTCAGAGAACTAAGCCATGCAATGTGTCTGCCGGTTATAATTTCCCCATCTGGGAACCTCAGAGTCCTGCCAAGCAGGGCTGCCTTCTGAACACTTCTTTACGCAAGTAAGGACGTTTAGCAATACCGGAGGTGGCCCAGGCTAGAGCTTGTCCAGCAGGAAACATGCTCTGTGCTAGCTAGCTATATCCACCAGTGCCTCTGTGTGAGTTTGAATGCGATGTCCACAGAGGGTTACGGGGAACAGAAGAAGAGAGGCACACGAGGGAAGGAACCAAGCAGAAGCTAGTGAGGAAGGAAGAAGGGACAGAAAGCAAGCCAGTGGTGTGCTGCATGGAGGCCTAACACGGCCCATGGGTGGGTCATGGGGACCTTGGGGTGAAGGGCAGCAAGAGGAGCAGAACTCCAGAGCCACCATTACAGCTTCTGACTCAATATCCACTCTTCTTTACTTACATACTCTCAGCACCCCAAAGCAACATGCCTGGCTCAAAATGAGTCTCTTGCAGGCTGAAAGTTCTGGCCTACAGATACAACCAGAAGTCAGTGTGATTTTCCTGTATGTTGCAAATCCTGCCTCTATGACGAGGGAGGATGGGTGGCAGTTGTGTTAGTGAGGCAGGACTCAATCTACAAGATTGGACTGTGTCCTGAGGCAATCTCTTGAGATATAAAAGAGAGAAGTGAGCGGAGAGACAGGGAGAATTCATACCACCAAGAAAGTAGTGCTGGAAGCAGAGTGAGTCCTTTGGACCTGAGGTCTCTGCATGGAGAAGCTCCTAGTCTGGCGGAACATTGATAGGAAGGCCACCAGAGAGAGAAAGCCTTCCCCTGGAGGTGATGCCCTGAATTTGGACTTTTAGCCTACTTTACTGTGAAGAAATAAACTTCTCTTTGTTAAAGCCATCCACCTGTGGTATTTTTGTTACAGCAACACTAGATGACTAAGACAGAATTTGGTACCAAGGGTGAGGTGCTGCTCTAACAGATAACATAAAATGTGGAAGCAGTTTTGAAACTGTGAATGACAGTGGCAGCGACAGAGGACCAGCAGCAGCAGAGAACCTGCAGCAGCAGAGGAGAGGCAGAGGCAAAGAACCAGCAGCAGCAGCAGAACGAAGAGACCAGCGTGACACGGCGCTGGAGCCAACCCATGGAGCAAGAGAGCTGAGTGCCTGTGTGTTCCTGGCAGAGTGGGGTGCCTCCGGGCACTTACCGGTGGAGCTACAGAGCTTTGGAACACCTGCCCCAGCAGGGCAGATGCGGGCTTGAGTCCCGAGGAGCCGAAAGGAACCAGGAAACAGAAGCTGAAGAGACAAGGGACACAAGAAGCCAAGCTGTCTCGGTCTCAAAAGGTATGGCCATGACCTCAAGGGTTTCAAAGGATAGAGGCATGACCTCAGGGGTTTCAAAGGGTGGAGCCACGGCCTATGGTGTTTCTCAGGGTGGAGTTCCCACTCAGATGGACTGGGAGAATGGTGCCCCTAAAACCCAGGGAGCAGAGCTGGTGTTCCAGTGGGCCTGGAAGGCGGAGCTGAAGCCCAGGGCCAAGGGGTCTCCACTCAGAATATGGAGAGCGTGGCCAACACCTAGAGTCTGGAGGGCAGGGCCATTGTGTAAATTGGCTCAGAGAACAGAGGATTATTTTCAAAGCCTTGAAGGCTAAGGTAATGTGTTCTGCTGACTTGCTTGGTGCCTGTTATCCCTTCTTTTCCTCAGTTTCTCCCATTTGTAATGGAAATGTCTAGCTTGTGCCTCTTCTGCCATTGTACCTTTGGAAGCAGATAACTTGTATTCCAGATTTCACAGATGAAGAAGAATTTTTGGATTTTGGATTTGGAGTTAAGACTTTTGCTCTGATATGATGCGGTGAATATGTTTCGTGTGTTGCCAGGATGTGATTTTTTGGGGGTCAAAGGGTGAAATGTTATGGATTGAATTATGACCCCCAAAAAATGTGTGTATCAATGTGGCTGGGCCATGATTCCTGGTACTGTGTGATTTTCCTGTATGTTGTAAATCCTGCCTCTATGAAGTTAATAAGGGAGGATGGGCAGCAGTTGTGTTAGTAAGGTAGGGTTCAATCTACAAGATTGGATTGTGTCCTGAGACAATCTCTTGAGGTATAAAAGAAGTGAGCAGAGAGACAGGAGGACCTAATACCACCAAGAAAGCAGTGCCAGGAGCAGAGCGCATCCTTTGGACCCAGGGTTCCTGCGTGGAGAAGCTCCTAGTCCTGGGGAACATTGATGAGAAGGCCAACAGAGAGAGAAAGCCTTCCCCTGGAGCTGATGCCCTGAATCTGGACTTTTAGCCTACTTTACTGTGAAGAAATAAACTTCTCTTTGTTAAAAGCCATCCACTCGTGGTATTTCTGTTACAGCAGCACTGGATGACTAAGACACTTTCTTCCTGCTTAGAACGTGCACACACAATGCTGGAGGATGAAAAGCCATCAAGCCAACATCAGATGAGCAAAGTGACAGTAGGAGCCTGGGTCTCTGGGGGGCACCGCCGACACCTGGTGTCTGAGTTATCTAGTGCTGCTATAACAGAAATGCCACAAGTAGATGGCTTTAACAGACATTTATTCTCTCACAGTCCAGAAGGCTAGAAGTCTGAATTCAGGGCGCCAGCTCCAGGGGAAGGTTTTCTCTCTCTGTCGGCTCGGGAGAAGGTCTCTGTCATTGATCTTCTCCTGTTCTAGGAGGCTTCTCAGTGCAGGGACCCCGGGGCCAAAGGATGCACTTCCCTCCTGGTTCTTCACTCTTGGTAGCATGAGGTCCCTCTGTCTCTCTGCTCAATTCTCTTTTTTATACCTCAAAAGAGATAAGAGTCAAGATACAACCTAATCTTGTAGATTGAGTCCTGCCACATTAAAATCATAGAGGCAGGGTTTATAACAATTAGAAAAATCACATGAAATGACAAAATGATGGACAATCACACAATACTGGGAATCATGATCTAGACAAGTTGACATACATTTTCAGGGGAAACAATTCAATCCAGAACACCTGGCCAGCTTGGCTGGCTAGTATGCTTGACTCTTCATGACTCTTCTGGTACACACAAAGAGACACATGCCTGACTGACACGCCCACCTCATCCCAAGCATCTCCACACTGACCCACTTCATACTGAGATCCTGGGTGATGCTTTGTTAGGAAAAAACCTAACTGCCTTAAAATGGAAATTGTAAAGCACTATAATAGCAATGGAGCACTGTCTGGGAAGGGTTGAGAAGAGGACCCCTAGTTCCTGAGCAGCACACTGGCCTCCACTAGGCCTGGCTGAGAGGTGGTCGAGACTGCTTCCTTCATTCCTCAACTATGTTAGAATAACCTACATCCACCCTCTCCAATTAACTACATAATCTGAGCCTGCCTCTCCTTTGCCAAAAGCCAGCTACACCTGTTCATGCCATTTACCCATTTTTATTACTGTGTTTATCTTTCTCACAAGAATCTAAAAGATCTCTTTCAATAAGGATATGTTGTTATTGTTGGTAGGTGCCGTCGAGTCAGTTTCCACTCTTAGTGATCCTATGTACAATAAAAAGAAACATTGTCTCGTCCTGCACCATCCTCACAATCATTGCTACGTTTGAGCCCATTGTTGCAGCCACTGTGTCAATCCATCTCGTCGAGGGTCTTCCTGTTTTTCACTGACCCTCTACCTTACCAAGCATGATGTCCTTCTCCAGGGACTGGTCCCTCCTAATAACATGTCCAAAGTACGTGAGACAAAGTCTTGCCATCCTCGCTTCTGAGGAGCATTCTGGCTGTACTTCTTCCGAGACAAGATCTGTTGTTCTTCTGGCAGTCCATAGTTGTTCGCCAGTGCCATATTTCAAACCCATCAGTTCTTCTTAGAAGTCTGATACGAACTGTCATAAACTTCCGTTACAAAACATTTTGAGCGTAAGTCCTCTAAAATACTGTGATTCTTTTACAAACGCCACCAACTTTTTCCCCCAACTTTCATTTCCATGTATTGTAGAAAGTTCCCCTACTCTTTCTATTTGGGTAAGGGGTCGTTGGCCTCCTTGTGTTCATAGGGCAGTAATACAGTCTAGTAGTTACACTCTGGGCCAGGCTGCCTGGGCTCAACTCTGAACTCTACTATTCCCTACATCATGGCCTCAGACATACTACTTAACCTCTCTATGCCTCAGTTTCTCTATTTGTAAAATAGATGCCTCAGAGGTTATTTCCCCTCCATCGACACTCACTATGTGCTTTCATAAGATGAATCATTAAAGACTCACAACCACCCTCTGAGGCTGGTTATTATGAGGATTACATGAAATAAAATGCTTGGGATGGGCCATGACACATAGTAAGTACTTAAGAAATGCTAGTCATTTTTATTACAATACTTATAAAAATATTAGTCAAATCTGACATAACACATCATTTCCTCATAAGTTGTGTTCTTAAAATTAACATATTTTTATATAACTTATAATTAAAATATGTACTTATAGAGATCTTTAAAAAGTAATTTTAATTAGGTACTTCTGTATTTGAAGGTTTTCTAAAGGGAGGTTCTCATTAAATTATACCTATAAACATAATGAAACAAAGGTTCCATTTGAAAGAGAAGGGCGGCCAAATTTAGCAGTAAAAATTTGCACTTGTAAAATGCTAACTATGTGCCAGATATTCTGGTAAGTGCTAGTAATAAAAATAAACAAAACCTGGTCTCTATTGTCAAGCAGATCAGAGTCCAGTAGGAATACACTGTGACTCAACTGGTCTAAACTATATAGTTCATGTATTTTCTATATAATTCACACACAGGGAGTAATACATATACATAATTATGTACACACATTAGGTAGCAAATTTCCAAATAAAGCAGATAAGGCATTTACTATGGATGTAGTTCAAATACTTCAAAAAAAAAATGAAATATTACAATTAATACTGTAAGAAATTATGTTACTCTTCTGTATAATCTCATACTCTAGTTACCTATTTTACTTGTCAACTTGTTAGATCATCAAGGCAGTGACAAATGACTTTCAGAAAAAAATAACATAGGCTTAGAGTCTAGATAACAACATCAGGTGATTTGGTAAAGGTATTTAAATTCTGTCAAGTCTTAATTTCCTCCAATATAAAATGGAGACACCAAACTACTTTCCTGCATTACTGTCAAGATTAAATGAGACTACTATTACTACTGTGATTATACAAATTTAACATACAGAAAAATTTTTTTCAAAAGTTAAATTAGTGAGTAGCTATTTACTTATTTGGGAATCTATGGGTGGTGCAAACAGTTAATGTGCTCAGCTGCTAAGCAATAGGTTGGAGGTTCAAGTCCACCCCGAGGTGTCTCGGAAGAAACACTTTGTAATTTACTTCAGAGAACTCAGCCATTGAAAACCCTACGGAGCACAGTTCTACTATGACACCCATGGAATCACCATGAGTCAGAATCAACTTGATGACAATTTTTTTTTTTTTTTTAATTTACTTATTCAAGAATTCATTACGGAATCTCTTTGGAGAGTTCTCCAGTTAAAATATCTATTTAAACTGGATTTCTTTTTTAAAATATATTTTACGAGCAACTCCACCATGAGTCAGAATCAACTTGACGACAATTTTTTTTTTTTTTTTTAATTTACTTATTCAAGAATTCATTACGGAATCTCTTTGGAGAGCTCTCCAGTTAAAATATCTATTTAAACTGGATTTCTTTTTTAACATATATTTTACGAGCAACTCTTGAGAAACACAAGTATGATACACTGTGTTCACTACACGTGAGACTGACAGTACAGCTTTCTGGTTCAAGGTCACTAATGATCAATCAGAATGACTGAACTGCCTGAACAACTGGACATCGTGACCTTCCAGGTCTGAAGATCACAGCGGCCACTGTGCAGGAGATGGAGTAAAGGTATAAACCAGTCCAAGATTCTGAACTTCAGACAAGTGAGAGGTTTGGGGCAGGAGAGTGCCAGGATCAGTTCCAGGTCTTTGTACTGCATATTGCGTACACATAACCAAACGCTCCACATGGCTTCTTTTGTATACACACTTTAAAGTTTTCTAATTAATTATATTACTCAAATGAACAACTTCAAATAGTACCCTAGAGGATCTCAATGGATTTGATTATTTTCCATTAATTGAAACAAACAATAAAAATTGGAGTAATTTTTAGATTCTTTTCTCTTAGTAAAAGTTAGCAGGGAATCATGGGGAGAGTAGGTTGCAATTTAAAAAGTGGGCTGCACTCCCAAATCTATCACTAACTCAATGCATTCTACTTAGAACAAGTCATCTAACCCCTTTAGGCCCAAGTCTTGGTACCTGTCAAATTAGGAGGATAGGTAGGATCCTTCTTGATTTAACAACACTCTAAGTCCTACGTTTTAGTCTATGTTTTAGTAAACCTCAAGCACCCAACTTTACTACAGCAATGATCAACGACCCTTAGAGCATACAACTATGCTTTCAAGACGTGTTGCCTGATGGAAGATGACTTACCACGAATGTGCTAGAAAAGAGTTGCAAAATGCCATAGGTGGAGCCTGTAAAAACATCAATAACATAAAATCAGCCAGACTCATCATCAACAAACCAACCCAATGCTGTTGAGTTGATTCCAACTCATACCGACCCTACAGGATAGAAAATTGCCCCATACGGTTTCCAAGGAACAACTGATAGATATGAACTGCCGGCCTTTTGGTTAGCAGCCCAGCTCTTAACTACTATATTATCAGGGCTCCAGACCCATCATAGGGATGGACTAATGTGGTAGCAATTACACAGAAAGTAACAGGGAAACATTTCAGTTTTTAAAAAGGAGATGACCCAAATCTTCTTCTTTGACTTGGAAGAGTATAAGTAATACAAGTTTTAATAACCCATTGCCGTTGAGTCGATTCCAGCTCATAGAGACCCTATAACACAGAGCAGAACTATCCCATAGGGTTTCCAAGCAGTGGCTGGTAGATTCAAACTGCCGATCTTTTGGTTAGCAGCTGTAGCTCTTAACCACTGTGCCACCAGGGCTCCATAATTTTTAATAAAAGGTACTCAAAATAAAATACAGGGCAAGCAGATGAGAAAATAAATGCAAGGGCTGACCTTAGGGACACTGAGAGAATCTTTCTTTCACTATGTAAGAATTGTGTTGCTCTGATTCTAGCTCAGAATTGTGTAGATCTGATTTACAAGACTGAATGGAAAGTAGAATAGAAACCTGAAAAATTTCTATTGAATCTTATTGAAATCTTAGAAAATTCTACTGAGTCTTAAAATTTTCACACCTCACGTCTCTAACATTTTATAGTTTTATAAAATGCTTTTGTTTTATAAAGAACTTACGAAGTTTTACAGTGTTTTTACCTCCATTATACCATGTTTAACATGTCCATTCTGCTGGTCATAAAAATCTTTATGCAGTATAATGCCAAGTACCCTTCTCCAGAGAAAAAAATCATGGCAAGAGCCAGGATTTAACAAACATGAGATACAAAAACACCCCCAAAACGTTAAAACGCAAGGGCTCTTGATACCATATTTCTCTTCGAATTAAGTTCTCATTAATTGGCACATCCCCTGCATTAGCATGTTTTACCCGAGCCATTATCTCCTGCCTCTTACGTAAACCAATGACTTCTGGATGGAATTTTCATGCTGCACAGACAGAGAAGCCCCACAGTTCTCTAAGACGTGTCAGTGGTGGTGCCAGAAACTTCCAACCGATTTGCCAAGGTTCATCCAATCTCTTTCCTCAAGATATGATTTCTGTAGATTATGTTTCTCTGGTCTTGCACATTACAGGTTCCCATAGGCAGGAGTCCATACCCACCCTTTAACATACGCGACCAGCTCCTTGGAAGAGTTCAAAAAATACCTGTTGTGTGACTGGTGGTATGGACCTCAGGGATAACGCTCAAACCTTTAAGCCTCCCTGAACTTGGGTAATCTAGGGAAAGATGAATTACTTTGCTTCAGGGTAATATTTTAAAATATTATAAAAATTCATTTTACTCCATTTCCCATTTCCCTTTGGCTAATATTTAGTTGTAAGACTGGGTTCTTTTCAGGGACTTAGTTCAGGGAATTTAAAATTCAGTGCTCAGAAAAGAAGCAATATTAACCCCTCACCTACTATGCCAGCAACTGTTGGGCTTGCTCCAAGAGACTTGACATGAAGGCTTAATAAAGGAACAACCATGCTTACACCAAACAAATCCTAAAAGAAAACAAAATATTTATCCAATCAAATTAGTAACTAAAGCTTGGATGTTTCTAAACTGGCCATCCTAAAATTATAAACTCATTTTAAAAATAAAACCAGTGTCTAGAATTTTGAACAAACAAGAAATCATCATTGTAGTCCACATTATGCCATGTTGTTGTTAAGTGCTGTTGAGTCGGTTCCGACCCACAGTGACCCTATAGGAGACTAGAACTGCTCCATCGGGTTTCCAAGGAGCAGCTGGTAGATTTGAACTGCCGACCTTTTGGTTAGCAGCCAAGCTCTTAACCACTGTGCCACCAGGGCTTTGACACTATGCCATAGTAAACCAAAAAACCAAACCCACTGCTGCTGAGTTGATTCCAACTCACAGTGACCCCATAGTGTTTCCAAGGCTGTAAATCTCTGTGGAAGCATGCCATCGTGATCAGGGAAAATTACCAAGGAATCTGAATACCTTGTGTTATAATAACATCTGTCAATTGGAACTGCCTGGATTACCTTGATCTAGAACTCTTTTTAACTTTAGCTTCTTTGTAATTGAGCTTTAACATGCAACACGGACATGCTACATAAGTCTTTCAAATTAAAAAAAAAAAACAAAAAATGTTCCACAGTTAATGAAATGAGAAAAAAAGAGAGGTAGAGATAACGTGTATTTATTGATGAAACAACACCTGTCTTAAAACCCACTGCTGTCGAGTCAATTCCAACTCATAGCAACCCTAGATGACAGAGTAGAACTGCCCCATAGGGTTTCCAAGTCGTGCGTGGTGGATTTGAACTGCTGACTTTTTGGTTAGCAGCCAAACTCTTAACCACTGTGCCACCAGGGCTCTCTCAGTAACATGAATTTCTTCCTGGAGTCAGGGAAGGTGACTAAGTTTCCAGAAGCTGTAGCATATGGCTTTACAAGGTAATACCTGAAAGAAAATCTCAGCAAAGGGACAGAGAGGCCTGGCACTGAGGGAAGGCCAACGTTCTGCAGGTAAGTCACAGAAGGTGCGTGGGCTTTGGAATCAGACACAGAGTTCTCAATTCCAGCTCCATCACCTACTAAGTGTGTGTTCTTGGAAAGTTATTTAATGTTACCAAGCTTCGGTACTGTCATCTATAAAACATGGCAACAGTAACAACTGCCTCGTAGAAACAGGATGAATATTAAATGACATAATGGTTGAAGAGGGTCTAACACACAAGAGCTCAAATATATTTTCTCTTTCCTTCAGTTCTGGGAATAAGCACCATTCCTTTTTGGTAGCATTCTGAGTAAATAGGAAGATGGATTGTTTTTCCTTTAAGTTTTGTTCTCATTTCTGCTTCACTTGGTTACCTGCTACAAATGATTTAGAGGAAGAAAATACACTTACACACACACTTTCTCCTTACATTCAACTTGAATTCCTTCTATAATTCCGCTTAAATTGAAGGAAAGAACATGCACCAAAAATACTTTCTTTGGGCTCAGAGTTAAGCTTTTACTCTCCCCTCTCCTAGTAGCTGCGCATTCACCTAATTACAGAAACATGAACTTCCAAGTAAACTTTTAGGTGGACTTTTTCCATGGTTACATTTTCAGATAACCGTATATCTAACATCCAGTGATCTTAAATGTTTCATAAATTTACACTGCTATGGTTTATCAATATTCATAAATTTACACTGCTACGGTTTATCAATACAATTTTAAGATGACTTAGAATTCATTTTGGGTCTAAGCTAATTTCTCTTGGGCTTTACTGTCTGCTTTGTTCCAGCAGTCTGGATATTTCCACCACTTAAAGAGACTCAAAATGTATCAGCCACTTACTGAGTCTTCTGGATCTTTCAGAAAAGAAAATTTAACTGTCCAACAAGAAGGTTTTTCTGCCCAAATTTCCAGTACCACATGTCACTTAATATTCAAATAGGTATTATAAAGAAAAGCTAGGAAAGAAATATTTAAGGAGATAAGCTGAGATCTGTTGAAAATAAATATAAAAATACAGAGTCATAAGCAATAACTGGTTATTGTTCTTATTTAAGGACTTTGTGAGCCTAAAAACTAATGTATTTTTTTCTAGGAGGTCAGCTGCTGACTCCTTCCTGTCAGGAAGCTCTGTTCTAAAATTGTTTTTTCGTTTTCTTCTTCTGAATGCATAGCTTCTCCAAAACTACTATCAGTAAGTGCACTTTGAACTTTGCAACCAGCAATGAGCTTGTAGTTTATAATCAGGTCAGAGAGAGGCCACTTAAACCTATAACCCAGCATCTGCATCTCTCAAAGAAAACTGATGAATAAATTGAAATGCTTCAGAACTTTTTTCAGGGTTGTTGCTGTTGTGTGCTGTTGAGTCAATTTCGACTCATACTGACCCTAGATGGCAGAGTAGAACTGCCCCATGGGGTATCCTACAGGAACCCAAATATTTTTTGACTAGTAGTCTAACATTAAAAATTACCAACTGATGTAGAGACTAAAGCTGAGGAATTGGAATACCAATCTCGCCAGCTATCTGGAGGAAAAAGCGATTGAAATTACAGATCTTAGCACCAAAAACAGGCATAAAGCTTCATCTCTGTCTTCCTTCCAAATCAAATTAAAATCCAGAAGTAGAGATAAGAGCTAAAAACATCAGAACATTCTGGCAAATGATTTTTCATCTTGTTCGCCTCCTCCCCCAACTGAAAATCATTTTCCCAAGAGTCTCAGAGGTCTTTACATCTCTAATATATAGAAAATAATAATTTAAGATATGTGTAACATTCCCTATGTTACTTAACAAAGCCCTTAGATCCTTCACGAATAACCAAAGCTGTATTTATTTCAAATGTCTACGTTTTCCATTTAAAAAATCCCTCCCTGCTTTCTTTTGACTTTGGGAAATCTTACACTTTTCCCTAAAGAAATCCGATACCTAGTAACTGAATAAACTATTAAAATTGCTAAAATCTCTACATCAAACAAAAAAACCCAAATCCACTACCGACTAATCGATTCCAACTGATAGCAACCCTATAACACAGAGTAGAACCGCCCCCACAGGGTTTCCAAGGCTATAAATCTTTATGGCAGCGCAGTTGGTGGGTTCGAACCCCGGACCTTTCGGTTAACAGCCAAACGCCTTAACCACTGCGCCACCAAGGCTCCTCAAAAATCTTACAGAAGGCTTGCCTAAGAAACCCCTGCTCTCCGCCCTTCAGGTGCTGCACCTGCCAACCGCATCTAACACCTGAGGTCATGCTCCGGGCGGGGTTAGGTCAAAGGGTGACACCTGAGGCGGTACCGGGGCTTCTTAAACTGTAGGCATGGGAAAGCGCCCAGGGGAGTGAAGCAGGGCGGCCAGGAGGCAGTGAGGAGGGATACGGGGCAAAAGGGTGGAGACGGAGGGCGGCACGAGACCTCGCAGACCACAGGTCCCCAAGCCAGGCTGAGCATCACCCCGGAGCTTTAACATTAGGGGAAAAAAACGATCGCCGCTTCGGTTCCCAGTCCAGCGCGAGGCAGCACGTAGCCCCCAGCCCCTGCACTCACCAAGAAGCCCACCAAGTAGAGGCAGAGCAAGAAGCGGCGGGTTCGGACAGCCCCAAGGCCGGCACTCCTGGCTTCGTCCCCCGTCCCCCGCTCCTGCCACGGCCCGGGGGTCGCCAAGGCCAGCTCCCGGGCTGCGCCCCGGCCTGGGCGACCCTCGAGCTCCATGCCTACGCGGGGAGGGGGCGCGACGCCGGGCGCAACCGCCCGGACGCCCCGCCGAGGCCAGTCCCGCCCCGAGCGGAAGCGGGGCGTGCGCCTGCGCAGACGGGACGTGCGCCGAGGCGGCTCCGCGGGTGAGACTGCCGGCTTCTGGCGGCCGGGAGTTGGGACCCCGCGGGCGGATGGGGCGTGCCAGCCGCGTGTGAGGGACGCGCCAGTTTTGTGAAAGCGGTGATGCTCTAGGTTTCCTCCGTAGAAAGATCCTGCAGTCCTTGTCTTTGAAACGAGTGAGGGAATAGTGACGAGCGGAGCCAGGTGGGGAGGGAGCACGCAGTTGCCTCGCCTCCTACGTGGTGCCCCGCTCCAGCTCGAAGACGCGCGAACCCCGCGCACTAGTTGGAGTGACTGACCCGGAACAGGTTACTGCGGCCTCTCCAAGCTTCGGTTTTCTGGTTTGAAAAAGAGGAGGAAATATCGTGTGCCAGTCTCCTAGAGTTGTGAGAATTCAGTGAGATCTCTTCATTCTACACATGCTTACTGTGAGTTACTGAGCACCTCAGGTGTGGTGCAGGGGGAACAAGACAGCTGGTCTTTGAGTTGAGGTTACGGTGGAGTAATAATAGTATTGTTAGATGCCGTCGAGTCGGTTCCTACTCATAGCAACCCTATGTACAACAGAACGCCATCCTCACAGTCGTTGCCATGTTTGAGCCCATTGTTGCAGCCACTGTGTCAGTCCATCTCGTTGAGGATCTTCCTCTTTTTCGCTGACCCTCTCTACCCTACCAAGCATGATGTCCTTCTCCGGGGACTGGTCCCCCTGATAACATGTCCAAAGTACGGGAGACAAGTCTCTCCATCCACGCTTTATCAAAGGAGCATTCTGGCTGTGCTTCTTCCAAGACATTTGTTCTGGCTGGCAGTCCGTGGTATGTTCAATGTTCTTCGCCAACACCATAATTCAAAGATGTCAGTTCTTTAGTCTTCCTTATTTATTGTCCAGCTTTCACATGCATATGACGCGATTGAAAATATCATGGCTTCAGTCAGGTGCACCTTAGTCCTCAAAGTGACATTTTTACATTTTAACACTTGAAAAAGAGGTCTTTTGCAGCAGTTGCCCAGTGCAGTACATCCTTTGATTTCTTGACTGATGTTTCCATAGACGTCGATTGTGGGTCCAAGTAAAATGCAATCCTTGACAACTTCAATCTTTTCTCCATTTATTTTCTCCATTGTTGCTTATTGGTCCAGTTGTGAGGATTTTTGTTTTCTTTATGTTGAGGTGTAATCCATACTGAAGGCTGTAGTCTTTGATCTTCATCAGTAAATGCTTTAAGTCCTCTTCACTTTCAGCAAGCAGGGTTGTGTCATCTGCATAACGCAGGTTGTTTATGAGTCTTCCAACAATCCTGCCTCTGTGTTCTTCATATATTCCAGCTTCTCACATTATTTACTCAGATTACAGTAAATAAGTATGGCGAAAGGATACAACCCTGACACACACCTTTCCTGATATTAAACCATGAAGTATCCCATTGCTCTGTTCGACTGCCTTTTGGTCTGTGTAATAACAATAAGCACACAATAAATGAAAAATACTAAACACAATAAAACACAAGGTACACAATTATTAAAATAATATGACAAGTGATATAAGGAAGCAGGGTCTTCATAAGAAGACTGATGAGGGGAAAAGTGAGCTACTTTAGAAAGGTAGCTTGGAGGAGGTGACATGTAAACTGAGAGGTGTTGAAAGAAGTTATGTGTGACTGGAGCCTTCTGAGCAAACTGAGAGGTCAAAGAGGAGGCACGGATGCAGATCATTCAGGACTTTAAAGGTGATAGCAGAGTTTTGGGGTTTTATTCTGAGTGCAATGAAAGGAATTAAGTGGGTGTATGACACCAGAGGGGCCCTCGTTTCCATCCACCTGAATTCTCTGTGTGCCCATTATCAGTGTATTCCTTTGGAGCTCTAAATCCAACCTTCATTGTCCTGCTTTGTGATATTGGAACTGGACCTTGTGAACAATTCTTCTTTGCCAGATGGCATGATGTTAAGCTTTGTCAATACAGGATGCTCCAGGGGTACTGCCAGAAGAAGGAGCTTTTCTTGTTTCTACAGTGTGGTGGACAGCAACCCAGTGGCATTACCACCCTGCCACCAAAACAGTTTTAGCAGTCCTTCACATGACCATCCAGAGAGTTCTGCGGTATCCCAGCTGGCTTCCTAGCTGGTTCCACCACCACCCCAGAGGGTGGTTTCCAAGCAAAGTTCAGTGCCACTCCCAAGGGCAGACTCCAGTCAAGTTCCTCCGGTGCCTCAGCTGGCTTTCCATTGAGTCTCCTTGGCTTCCCAAAGGGCAGTTTCCTACTTTCCAAACCTGAACTGTCCACCTCAACAAAATACTGTGCCATCCAGTGGACCACAGCCATACCCCTTCCAATGAGGTCTGACTTTTCAATTGTAGGGTGGGGAGACTTCTTCCAAATTTATTTCTTACTTGGGTACTCTGCCTCAATCCTGGAGGAAGTTGCTGTTCCTTATCTCTGCTATTTCTTATTTCATATAGTTATTATACCTCTTTTAGTAGTTAATGATTGCAGGACCACGTGACGTTTCCTTCTGTTGTATGTGGGGTTGCCATGAGTTGGAGCCAACTTGTCAGCAACAAAGAACAACAACAGCAATCAATACCTCTGATAGTAATTAATTATTCTTTATGGTAAACTCCTTGTTCAAATTACTGTGTGCTTTCTGTCTTCTGAATGGATCTGGACTGATACAGAATTGGTAGAGCACGTGGCTTCAGGATGTAGACCTTTCGGATTGGTTTTGACGTGCCCTTGGGCTTGAGCTCAGTGCTCAGCTCCTTGCCAGTAGCAAATAACATGCTAGTAACTCATGCTAGTAACCGTAACTATCACATGTGAGTGGTTGTGATGGAGTGTCATCTGAAGCTACTGTCTTGGGGCCCCAAATGGCAATGGCACTTGACTGTTACAGTAATGGCTGAGGAGTCCAGCTCTTTGCTAAAAACCTGTGTGTGATTTTTCAGGTCTGACCATAGGGAGTTACAAAGGCTTTACTTGGCAGGCGTCAGGGGAAAGCTGCCCTCCTAAACCAGACTTTGAGCATAGCCAATGCATTGCAATGTCTGAAGGGAGTTAGTCAAGGAATCAGGCCCCCTTGATGTGAAAAAATGCTCTTTCACATATCTGCATTCTTAGCCCAAACCAAAAAACCAAACCCTTGCCGTCCAGTTGATTCCGACTCGTAGTGACCCTATAGGACAGAGTAGAACTGCCCCACAGGGTTTCCAAGGAGCACCTGGTGGATTCAAACTGCCAACCTTTTGGTTAGCAGGTGAACTCTTAACCACTACACCACCAGGGTTTCCATTCTTAGCTCAGGAACCTCCGTATGGAGGCCTCTTTATCAGGAACCTTTAGCAGAGGTACCTCTGCTGAAGTCTCCTATCAGAAGGAAGGGGGGAAACTTGAAGACTATTTTCCCCACTCTGACACAGTTCTCAGTACTTTTCTACTACTAGCCTTTTCCACTGCCTCCCCCGCCCCCGCCCCCCCCCCATCCTTGGGTCCATGAAACTATAGGAGCCTTTTGTTCAGGGCTTGATTGGCAGTGAGATATTCCCCATGTCTGTGCTGATCCACCTGACCCTCACCCAGGTGCCCTTCCTGGGGAAATATGGAACATGGGGAGAAGTAAGCACCTTCTTTCTGGGTTTGACCTTGTACTTACACTATGGCATGAAGTGATTAAGGGCTGGACTTCTACTTTCATTTTGGCTCATTGTCTTAACGGCTACTTGAACATCTGGCAACTCAGTTCAGCTCTCTCAGCTCAGCTCCTTGATAATGGTAACTCCAAAGCCATGGTATGGGATAGATTCTTCTAATCGCACTCGAGCATACTCAGAAAAAAGAAAATGTGAAGCTCAGGTCTTTTTAACTCTCACCTCTAGTCACAGTCTGAGAACCAGAATGCTGTCAAGATAGTCCTAAAATAAATTCTTACATTTTATAAGCCCGGAGCTGGTATTGCTGAAAATCAAACATGAAATTTAATTCTGCGGGTTGCTGAATTACAGTAAGACTGTTGCATTCAGTCTTGCCAGGTTTCTCATTGAAAATTAGGGTGCTGTTTAGGAAAGAATGGGATACTGAAACAGAGTGGATCCAGATGTAAATGACATCCTTGAACCTCAGGACACTCTGAGCCTCCTTTGCCAGTAGAACTAGTTTGCCCTCTTGTATCTGAGGAAATTAGTCTTACTGTTCTTGAAAATTTTGTGATGAACTCATCTGGAGTGGGTATCTTGAGGAGGGAAGATGCTTGTGCTCCTACAGACAATCAAAACTACCTACTGAAGACACTAGATCCATACCTAGGGTGAAATCTCAGCATGCTCCATGCGACAGGGACAGCTATGACCAAAGAGAAAATAGTTTACACACCCATCATTGCCCTGAATCATGATACTGGGGCTGAACCATATAAACACGTCTCCTTTGCCAGCTGAGGAAGGGGCTTTTGTTTTAACCTACCGTACTTTTCTTTTTTCTTGTACCTGTGGTGTGTGGCAGCCAGTATGGTGAGGGACACCTATTGGTCCTTAGCTCCCAGCAGGTTTCACTGGCATCTTGGCTGGCTTGTGAATGAATCTCTTAGATGCCCCAGTGAGTGATTTTCCTACCATTTCTGCAGATGACCGCTGGGTCCTATGGAGAAAATCCTAAGGAATCTATAGAAAACTACTAGAACTAGTAAAGTGAGTTTAGCAAGGTTGCAGGATACAAGGTCAATTTACAACTAACAATTTTATTTGTATATTCTGACAATGAACTGTTAAAAATTGGAACTAAAAAACAGAACTATTTTTAAAATATTTAATATGAAATAGGGATAAATTTGACCAAAAAAATGTGTAAGACTGTGGGGAGAGACAGTCCTCCTTTGGCCTATTGAGCTCCTAT